CTCTAATAAAAATAAAAGATATAAATATATGTAATTCACACTCACAAATCTATTGTTTTTCACAATATATCATAATAAAATCACAAATATAAAACTTCTCTTGTCTCCTTTATCTTTTATTTTTCGTTTATTTTTTTTATCGTTTTATTTGTTATTTCAATTCTTTTAATTCATTTTTCTTTTTTAAATTCATTTTTTCTTTCTCTCTTTCTCTTCCTCTCTTTTATCTTTCGTTTTTTTTATTCCACTTATTTTTTCGATCGCCATTTCTAATTCGTTTTTTTTTCTTTTTTTTATTTCACGTCAATTTCTCAATTGTCATTTATTTTATTTTTTTATTTTTTTTATTTCTCGATCCCGTCTATTCCGTTCTTCTCTTTTTTTTTATTTCTCAATCTTGTTTATTTTGTTCTTTTTTTTTATTTCATGATCTCGTTTATTTTGTTCTTTTTTTTTATTTCACGATCTCGTTTATTTTGTTTTTTTATTTTTTTTTATTTCTCGATACCGTTTATTTCATTTTTTCTTTTTCCTTCTCAATTTCTCAATTCCGTTTATTTCATTTTTTTCTTTTTTCTTTTCTATTTCTCAATTCTGTTTATTTCGTTTTCTCCTCCTCTCTTTTTATTTTTCGATTCCTGTTTATTTTATTTTTTTATTTTTTTTTATTTCTCGATCCTGCCTATTTCATCTTTCTTTTTTTTTATTTCTATCATTATGGCTTTGGCTGCTTCCGCTGTAGCTCTATTCGAATAGACAGTCGATACTGCAACAGAATTAATTTGACTTCTACGCAATAATCATGACAATTTTGAGTTCATTCCTAATAATCACCATGAAAGGATATGAAGAACTATATTCAACCAATTGTTTCTTAATAAAGGATTCACCGCTTCTTCATCTCAATGTCGTAGAAAATGATACTCATTAAAATATGGGTATAAAAATCTCAAGAGGTTAGAAGCTAGGGAGAATCTTCACGACCAATCAATAATAAACCTAACTTTGCATGATCAGATATTTTATGCAGGGTTGGGTGACGAATTTGGGTTTCGAACTGATAATTATTTATTGAATAATAGTAATAAGAAATATATTTTTTACTTTTTAAAACTTCAATTTTTTAATTTAATTATT